ACCAACCAAACATGAGAAAATAAGTCAAAAATCTACTTGTTTTCCAGGAAAATATTTTTTAGGAAAACATTTTCCCTCATACCAAACACACCCTAAAAGTTTGAATCTTTTATTTATTTTCCTTTCTAAAATTGGTAACGCCTCTCTAATTAAATGATTTGAATAGATAAAAAATAATTTTGTACCTATAATTTTAAATTTTAAATTATTTAGACTCTAGAAAATATATATATATATATATATATAGACACTTGTAGATTTCAACATTAAACTACATAGTTGTTTACAATAAAATACTCTAATTTAGTTATGGCTAGTCTCTAATGGTCCCGTCGGCACATTAGAACATATCCATTATTGGCCTGCAATACTGCAACTGCAACTAGGGTTGATGATAAGAATGGAAAATTTGGGACTAAATCTGAATTACGCATTGCAATGTTCATTGACTGTAGTATTTTTAACAAGACTTTCTCTATATTCGGACATAAACTCGAGACCTCTGATTAAGGATGGACCAGGGGACACCACAACTCTTGTTGGTCATTCATTCAATATTAGTTAATCACATTATAAATATAGTTATCTTAACTGTTTTGTCAATTTATAAACTTAAAAGAGAATTAATTAAAAAAAATTCTCATTTTAACTTTACAATTATTTTTTTTAGAAAGGATAAACAAGTTTGTAAAATTTTATTTAAAAAATAAAAATAAAATAACAACAGTGTAAATTTTTTTTTTAAAAAAAATATAAACAAATGGAGCAAAATTTTTACAATTTAAAACCTAGACCTATAGTATACCAATAGCCGCCTCCTAATCATAAACAAAATACAGAAAGGAATTCGAGACCCAAGTACGAAAAAGGCATGAAAATGTATTCTAATTAGGAAAAATTACCTAAATACACATCCTATTTTATCATAATCTCTAAAATTTCCTCCATTTGAAAAGATTTCAAAAATCCATCTTGGATACATCACTTCCCTCTCGCTGATACATCCCTATCCCCCTCTCTGATACATCCCTTTCATTTCGGATACATCCCTCCCTCTCGGATATATCGCTCCCGTATGTATTTGGATGTTCTATCCCCTCTCAAATACATCCCTCTCCTATGTATCTGGTTGTCTTATCCCCTCTCTAATACATCTCTCCCCTATGTCTAGATGTTTATTGATGTATCAGGTTTACGTCCAGTGATGTATTCGGAAATTCAGTAATGTATTCGAAATCTATAAATTTTAAGGGAATCTTGTTTTCTAGAAAAGTGTAGAGAAATAATGTAATTAACTATTGGCACTATGAGATTTATATAAATCTATCTAGATAATTATATGTTGAGGTGTATATATATTGTATTTTAAAGTTTGCAAGTTGTAATTATGTAAATTATACTAGTAATAATTAATAAGGCCAAACTTCAAACATTTTAGTGAAATTTTAGCTTGCTTGCCAAGACTAACATCAAACATTTTTTACAAAAGTTATAAAATTCACCGTCAAATGTAAGGGATACTTAATTGTGACTTTAGGTGATGAACAGAAAATTATATGACCACCTCTCCTAGAATCTGCCAACCTTGCCTTTTAATTATTATTTGTTAAAATAGAAAGTCTTTATACTAATTTTTTAAAGGTATATAATTATTATTATATGTCTCAGACAAAAAACGTGCAAATGAAGCCATGCATCTATAAATTGGAGATAGATTAATAGGAAGCAAAATACAGAAAGAAAGATGAAGTCGATTAATATATTGAGTTTCCTGTTGCTTTCAACTACCCTCTCTTTGGTTGCCTTTTCTCATGAATTTTCCATTTCTGATAATAATGGGAATATTGTATTCCCTCCCGTGCTGGACATGGAGGGCCATTCACTCAAGATAAACGAGGAGTACTCGATTCTCAGTATTCCCTTTGGCGGTGGAAGCGTATACTTAGCTGATATTGATAACCGTACCGAATGCCCAAATGGCGTTGTGCAGGACAGGTCTGGTGATTTTGATCACAGCACACCCGTGTTGTTTTATACTATGGATAATTTCGTTTTTGAAGACCAAGATGTTAGTATAATGTTCTCAACTTCTTCTTCAACTAAGTCATGTTTTAACGAAACTGTTTGGCAAGCTGGTAATCACATGCTAGGGCCGATACGTCCACCACCTAGGTTTGTTATAACTGGTGGTACCTTAGGAATTCCAGGACCTAATACCTTAAACAACTGGTTCAAAATTGAGAAATATGAGACGGAGAGACCTCATTCTTACAAGTTAAGGTATTGTCCTAGTAAATATATGTGTCCAACATGCCAATTTGATTGTGCAGATGTCGGATTGTACGAAGATAGGGGATACACCCGTCTGGCTCTCAATAACAAGCCTTATCCCTTTGGCTTTAGCAAAGTAAAGAAGAATGATGCATAGTTAGTTAATTATCTATGCTTAATATATTATAACCTAGCTCGATCGCTTTTCTAAAATAATGTGGATCATGCTTCTATTCCACTCTATGTAATATTAATTAATGCTTATGATGAATAAAAAAGCTAGGTTCTTATTTATTAATTTCTGCTTCCAAACTATTGATTCAAATAAGTTTTAATTAATAAGTGGTATGTATATATTACTTATGGATAATCCCATGCGGTACCGATTCATTATTGGTCTGTTATTAGAGTTGATTTTCGGACCACTTAAGTCCAAATTGTAATATGCATTGTTATTGATTACGTGATGTGAATTTCATTGATAAGATGTTTAATCAATTGCATATTAATTTTGATTAGTCATGCCCAGTAGACTTAAATTTGGTTCAAAGGGGGAAATCTTTAAAAAATAAGAAACACTATTGTAATGGATGCAAATGTGTATTGTATGTTGGTTTGACTAGAAGTGAATTTTATTGTATATTGAATTGACGTAGAAGTCTCATTGTTTATTGTTATAGAAATTTATTTGTACAACAATTTTCCAATATCCCTACTCGTTAGGGCATGGAGGATATATTATTTTATTAATATTTTGTTGAAATTCTCAAATCTAGCCTTGCATTCTTGATAGCTGGAAAAATAATAAAAGGGTACATAGCAAATTGATTTGCTTGCATGACAACTACGTTTCTTTTTTTCAAATCCTACTTCATTGGCATGTTTTAGTTATGGACAATTACATTAGTATCATTTAGGCCAATAATATATGGAGCAATAAATACATTAATCAATATGAAAGTGATATTTTTATATTGGTGCAGTCCAATTTAGGATGCGAATAAACGGATTGGGTAAATCTATATAATCCACACACATATAAACCTTCGGTAGATTTTGTCCATTTTAAATATTTGTAGTAGGATTTTGTTATATAATTTTGTCACCTTTTTGACAACCAGCAAAAACCTTAAAGAAGAGTTTAATACATTTGTTGATGATATAACAAACACCTAATTAAAAATATATATTTTAAAGTCTATTTAATAAACAAAATAAAATAATGTTCTAAAATAAATTAATTTGCCCACCCACCCCTAGGAGACAGAGGAGGGGAGTCCGGAGCCGAAAGGGCAAGAAAAATTGTCAAAACATTCAAAAGGACAGCAAAATTAATTTTAGAACCAAAAGGACAACTTTGTAACGATCAAATTAACGTCGTCCAAATTAGGGTAGCAGCCGCAATGCGCCTTACAAGGCGCAGCCGCCTTGCGTCTTACAAGATGCAGACGACTTGCGCCTTGTAAGGCGCAGGAAATTCATGACTTGGCTGTAAATTAAAAAAAAATCATTGCCTTGTGTAATGACCTATTTCTATCGTTATTGAAAAGCCAGTGAGGAAAGAATTTGGGCCAGAAAACTTCTGAGTAGTGACTTGGAAATTTCTACCCTAGGCCAGACTTGGACGAAATTCGAGTCAGGTGAGGTCTAGGGAAATCTGGTAATGAATGTGGATTTAATTAAGAATTGGATCACATGAGTGGATAGCCAAGATGTTAAGGAGCATGTACGACTCTACAGAATCGAATTCGGGTGAGTAGAACTCCTGAAACTGATCTTGGCGTGAAATGGTAGTTTTAAAACATCCAGATTTAAATGTATGTTGTGAAATGGGAGCTTGGTACTCAAATTCTGAACTTCTGTCTCTGTGAAAGCCACGAGGACAGGATTATTCCCGTCAGGGCGGGGACGCTGTGGTGGGATGGGGTCTGCCATGGCGGGCTAGTCGCGAATTAAGTCGGAGAAAAACCCCAAATTCGTTATTTTTCTGCAAACTTCGTTCTTGAGAGCTAAGGGACAACCAGGGCAGTTTCTTGACAGTTTTCCACGATTTCTAGCGCTAAAGGTAAGATTATTACTCCCCTAATCCGTATTTCGATTCTTAGAACTTAGAATCTTGGGTAATCATCGTTAGGGGGAGAGGGGGTTGGCCTGAAGTTAATGGTGGGGAAAAGCCCTGGTTGAACATTAGGATCATGCGTTTGGTCTTGGGTTAATAATTTTGTTATTATCCGGGTAAATTAGACATTGTTTAGTGATCCTTGCATTAATTGCTTGTTTTAGATCAAGAACGAGCTGAAAGACTCGGAAAGGGAAGGCACACATGTCTTAGGAGTATTCAGGCTTGATTTCAAGGTAGGTGATGATTCAATTTCCTGTTTGTGTGATATATGCCGGCTAATTGCTTCATTGTATGCATGCATGTATGTGAATTGGAAAATGTGAATCAAATCTAATGAAATGATTATGTGCGAACCATTACATGCATGCCATGAACTTGTTACTTGACTGTGTGACTATGTGCACTGTTCATTATGGGTGATTGTGATTGGGGTTGTGCTGACTAGATTGGGTGTCAAGTTTCGACACATACATTGGATCGGGTATCACGTTCCGAAATATATATTGAACCGGATTTCACGTTCCGATACATGTATATTGTAGCGGGTGTCACGTTCCGACACACTAACAATTTGGGCGTGGGTTCCATGAGAGGACCACTAGTGATTATTACGTTCATGTTTACCTATCATTGATATCGGGAAATTGTATGTTGTTCCTAAATGATAATTGAATGATACAATATGTATATGTATGTTTACTATGTTGTAACTACTTGCTTGTATTTCCCTATTGGAATAGCCGCGTGATCCTATCAGTACACTGTGATTTGTGTACTGATACTGCACTT